AAATAAATTTGTCTGACAAAGCAGCAGCTCTCATTTACAGCCGTCTCATTTGGCTCGGTACTTCTCTCCTCTCAGTAGGGTTTGTGGAAAAGGTGGGCACATTCTGTGGCAGTTTGAGCTCGCTGTCAGCCTCAAGTTGTCAAGACGACAGAGATGGAACCACAAGATCATCTGAGTCCTCAGACGGGGCAAGACGGCGGAGGAGTAAGTCGTGTCGCGTGGGCTCCCGCTCCGACTTGTTCTGTTTGTGGTTCTCTATTAGATGTCCTTGCTGTTTTGAACATTTGGTCCGTCCGGACTCGACCCCTGAGTGATTCTTGCCTGGAAGAGTAGAAGAATGGCGACAAACTCAAGGAAAACCAAACGCTCAAGCTCGACGGCTGCTAGGCTTGACGCCGCCTCGGAGCTGACTGCAGCTAAAACCGAACTTTCGGGGCCCTCCTCACCCTCCCGCAGCGAGGCGGATGCACTCTCTTTGAAGTTTGACATTCTTGGCGCTATAAAAACCGATCACTCAGCTGTGATCAAATCCAAAATAAAAGCGGCTTTGGCTGAAGAGTTRACTCGTATTAAAGGGGAGCTACAAGTGGTGAGAGCGGAGGTAGCTAACGGCACGATGCTACTGCGCGCAGATCTGGACCACGTGAAACAGAGCGTTAAAGAAGTGGAGGGCGGCTTGTCGACCTGGTCCGATGAGGTTGTTGCTTTCCGCACCACCATGTTGGAATTGAAAGAAGTCAATGGGCTCAAAAAGAAGTGTGACGATATGGAAGGGCGCATGAGAAGGTGCAATGTGCAGATTATTGGAGTTCCTGAAACGCCAGAATCCAGCGCCACTTCAGCAGTAGCTAAACTGCTAACAGGGGTTCTACAGATGGATAAAGAGCCACTGGTGGACCGAGCCCATCGCTCTCCAGGTGGAAACAGGTCAGGCGATAAGCCGCGGGTTATTGTCGCTAAGCTGCACTATTATCAAGAATGTGTGGAAATACTGCGTCGGGCTCGGAGTCGTGGTCCTCTTCGTTTTAAAGAGTCACTGATTATCATCACATCTGACTACACGGCAGCTGTGGCCTGGGCTCGGGCGGCGTTTATGGAGGTGAGGAGGCTTCTTCGCAACCGACGTGATGTTTGCTATGGCCTGCTTTTTCCTGCACGGCTTCACATCTCTCAAAGGGAGGAAAGCAAGGAATTCCTGGATGCCAATGAAGCAATGGACTACGTTAAAAAGAGGATCCTCTTGGCGACGGACAGCGAGGACCGGCGTTGACCGCAGGTCCAACCCTCATCTATCCATTGTGACTGTCAGGTTGTAATGAACCTTTTAACTTTATGTCCCGCGTTATGTCTTGTTTTAATTTTAGACATTATTCTCAGGGACAACATTCCTCTTTTTGTTCTATATACGAGAGTTTCACAGGGGGTCTGTCCGGATTTTGGTTAGTGATTTATTTATCAGTGCTGCAAGGAGCATAAACAGTAATAATACTTTAAAGTAAGGGAACCCCTTTTTNTAATATTTCAGTTATTAATCAATATTCTCTGTTCATCATTCTGGTTTATCCAAGGCCAAAGATCCCCAGTTGTCCATTTGAGGGGCAGGTGTCTAAAAAAATTTAACCAAGAAATGTTTAAGATGTTTATATGTTCAGCCCTTAAAACATTTGCACTTAGAATTTTATCACTTTAAATACTTTTCAGTAAGTTAAATGTCTACAATTCTGGTTCAAATAATGAACTTCATGTTTACTAGATTGTTAACTAATTATTTTCGAGTTAATATTGCCTCAATGAATAGTGATTAAAAAAGTAACCTGTAAAACTCTGTTAAATGTGATATGGTTGAAAATTTGGGTGCACCTAACTTTTGTGCTGGTGCACCTAAGAAAATTGTTAGGTGCACCGGTGCAACCAGTGCAAAAAGTTAGTCTAGAGCCCTGCAAAATGTCCGCCAATTCTGAGCTGGCAAAAATCTTTTAATAAAAAACCAGGTCTATCGCCTGCTTCGTCGCCATAGATTTACGGCCTTACAGTGTGGTGGAGAACAAGGGGTTCATATTCATGTTGCAGACAGCGGAGCAGAGGTACTGTAGGCCATACCATCCCCTAAGCTTTCCATTGAGACAGCTGTGCCACAGCTTTACCAAATGACTAAAAGGAAAAAAATTATGAAAAATTTAGAGGCAGCTAGTTTAMTGGTACTATTTTCCTGTTTTAAAAAAAACGTTTTCACTTGTTATTCTTAAAGCTTCTGAATAATAGGCTTTCATTTGTGCAAAAGTAGTGTTTCGTGTTGTATTTTTGGTACTGCAAATTTCCTGTGAAAAGAAAAGTGCATGTTGTTCAACTGTAGCATTTTATTATACCAAAGCACTTTATTTTTGTCAAACTTATTTTATAGCTGTGGTCCAGACACTATTTTTAAAAAAGGCACTTTYCTTAAAAGTGAAAAGGCAGCATGTTTAATTGCATTACATTTTTAATAACGATTCACTTTTATTTTTGTTACTTGAATATATGTAATATTGCCTTAATGAAACAGTTAAAAAAATTACACTTAAGCATGGATTAATGTTTAAAACTTATTAAATGTGAAAAGAAAAATCTGCATTTGTCATTCTGTCTTGCAATGCAGACTGGAGTTGATCATGCAGATTCTACAGACTTAAGCAGAATTTTTTATTAATCAATTCGTTTTGAATGAAAAATCGTTTTTGAATCGAAAATAGTTTTGAATCAAAATTCGATTTTGCATCGAATCGAATCATGACATAGTAAAAGATTCCCACCCCTAGTAGACTGAGCCCCACCTATCCCGTCCACTGTTGGCGTCTGTGACGACTAAAAATGGTGAACAGACAGGGCTCTCATAGCAACTTTTTGATTAAGAGCAAACCCAACTGGATCTAGTAGACTGAGCCCCACCTATCCCGTCCACTGTTGGCGTCTGTGACAGCATGGAGAAGAAACGGCGACCAAACAGGGGCTCACAGCCACAGATCAACTGGATTTGTTTCACAAATTACATGAAATATTTTTACAATAAATTAGCAACTATGTTAATTTCATTCAACAATAATGTATAACAGCAGATACAGTATATGATCTAAACCAGAACTGAAGTCAGTCAGTAACTTAAGACATTTTAGCTAGTTGAAAAATGACTTCAGCTAGTAATAAAGTATATTTATTATGTCTTCTTACTGTCATAAATAATAATAATAATAATAAATATTTACCATTAACACTTAGAAAATGTTCTCTGTATACCTGGTTATAGGATGAAATTTGTTTCTACTGATATTAGCTAACCATTTTCTCAACAAGTCATCTTCCTCTAACAGAAAACTGAAAATACTTTCATTTATATTATTTTACACTGTGTTGGTCTAAATAACAAGAGAACAAATCAGCTTCTAATAACCTAATAGTTTGTGTTAAATTGTAGCATGATTCAGCAGAGTGCTACACTCGTACATGCTTGACAAGCTAATATCTGCTAACCAGTTCAATAATAAAAAAAATGATTAAATCTGCTTTTTAAGCAGTGGCGGCTGGTCAATAGAGGGCGCCGCCCCACCACTATTTTTTGGGACAGAAAAAATATAAAAATGAAATGACAAAATAAAATGTTTAGTAGAAATATCTATATATTTTTTAGATGTGCAAGATACGTTTTATATAGTTATTAATGGATAAACTTTCATTTTTACTCATGAACGATGTGTTCAGTCACTTCCGATTCACGCCAGGGAGCAGAAATCTTTACCATTGAAGACAAATGTTAACTAATGTTTCATTGAGGACCTACTGTCCTCAATGCAAAAGAATAGGGAGTCTCTGGGCGCAGGTCACGTGGTTTGCATACCGGTAATGGGTCGACGCCATGTTCAGTAGGGCGGGACGGAGCAAACCCAGTAAGCTAATGGAGGAGCTAACAACTCAGCTAAGTCTCTTAAACACAACCTTTTTGATGAGAACAACCCAGGAGAAGCTTAAAGTTATAGAAGAACCTGGGCATGATCAGATGGACATGAAGAGCAGCGGGTCACAGACAGAGGGAGAGTTTATATTCCATCATTTTACAAGACCTGGATTAGAAACAAGGCTAACCTAACCGCTAGTAGCAAGACTAATGCTCTGTTTAGCTTTCTGCCTCATTTTTCAAGCATCAGGATCTGATCCAGCATGGATTAAAACAGGTAAGAGAAAAGCTAAAATACTTTTGTAATGCTTGTTAATCATAGTATATTATATATATTAATGATGAACACAACTTAAAATAATATAATATTTTTATATTTTTGACAGATTTAAGATTTTTTTCTTCTTTCTGCTGCCTTTCATTTTATTTATCTTTTTTTCTTTTGCTGTGTATAGAATTTTGTTTTTTAATTAAATATAATCAAAAATATAATAGAGGTGCAACAATGTGTTGTTATTAAAATACATCAATTGTTTTCTATGAATATATACTGTATAAGAAAGCTCACTTGTAGCCATCTCCATATTGAATTAAATTTGTTTATTCATTTATTGTTTTAGGTTTGTGACACCATCTTGAGACATTCAGAAAACATCTGATCAGAGCTGCAGGCTGACAGGTTCCTGCAGGACAGTTCTCTGAAGCAGCTCTGAAGACCATGGAGGCTCACCCAGTGCTGAACAGGACCAAGAAGTMTGATCTAGTTCTGGAGCTGCAGTGGTGCTGTGGCTCTGTACCAGCTCTTCATGCAGAACAATCTGCAGGACACCTTCAGAGACTGTGACTCTGCTGAAGACTCTCATCACATCTCCTCTGACCACAGCTGAATCTGAGAGGAGCTGAACACTGAAGAGAATCCAGACTTTCCTCAGGTACACAACATCACATCTCACTGCACTGACCATGCTCTATAGAGAAGAATCTTACTAAAACATACTTGACTTTAACCAGTCATGAAGAGATTTGCTTCTCAGTAACTGAAAKGCAAAATTTATGTACAAAAAATAAAACACTACATGACATTGTAATGCTGTTTTATTATTTTCATTAATTTAATAAATACACTGCCATTAAACAACTTAGTACATGTGTGATTACTTTTTGAGATATGTCTATTTTGGAGTTGTAGACCCCCCTGGAGAAAAACCCACCAACCACCACTGTTTATAAGCTTATTTTAATTTTAAAAAGTTACATTATTAGCTTCAGTTCTRCTCAGATCACACTGAGCTAAACAAGATCAAATCTGTTTACTTGTGTTATGAAATGAAACGTTTTCCTGTTTACCTTAAGTTGGTAAATCCATAACACACAGCTTTTCTGGCAATATTTTTAACTTTAGATAGATTATATGAACTGTAAAATATTAATAATAATTTTGTTAATATTATTAATAGTTTTTATGATTTCCACATTGTCAGTCCTTTTTTTCTGCTATGTTGCCAACACGTACARTGATGGTAAATCCAGACTCTTGCCCGTTTTGCTTTAGCCACTTAGCTTTTACAGTCGATCACACGGTCACGTGGTTAAAGTGATCGCGTCAAACTAACATATTAATGTGTTTAGCAGGTCTCCCTGATGGTGCACACAGAATTTAGAGCAGATTGATTCATGTATGTGTGATTTAGAGCTAACCGTGTTCAAATGGCAAGGCATCAGCATTTGCCACTCTGCCACACCATCCCGCCACCAGTCAGTGTTGAGAAGCATGCATGTGAAGTCTGCATAGTCAAAGCTTTAGGGGTAGTAAACTCAGATACATGTGCAAGAAAAGAGACAAATTGGCAGTTTTGATCCAAAATGGCTGACTTCCTGTGAGGTTTTTGTAGGTCCTGAGACATTTGATATGTATACCAAATTTCATGATTCCAGGTCCAAGCATGGCTTAGGGCAGATTTTGTAAATAATTATAGGGGGGAACTGTAAAGAAATTAGGCCACGCCCCCCAAAAATTGGACTGCATTCCCATAGTGGGGTGGATTCAGATCAACCACAGCAAATTGCGAGCAGATTGGTTGAAATATGTGGAATTTAGAGCAAAACGTATGTCAATGGCATGATGTCTGACTTCGCTGTACTGCCATGACCACGCCTTTTACCAAAACGTCCTTTTGCTTGAAAGCAAGTGAGATCAACGTATGGTCTGTGTTCTGACACAATTTGTTGTCGATTATGTCAAGGTCAGAGATAGAGCTTTCCAAGCCAAAAKGGTCACTTCCTGTTGTCAGGGGGTGTGGCTTTGATGATGTCATATGATCAAATGGTACGGTTAGGAATGTAACATGGATAACTCATACCAAATTTGATGTATTTTAGCCTTTCTAAGTTACAGCTTTCTGGAATTGTATAAAATGAACAGAGAGCATTTCTAAGTCCCCCGCCTCAGCGACGGGGGACAAAAATACTTTTTTTTTAATCAAAAAGAAACAAACAGTCTGTGGCAATGCCCAGAGGTTATGTTATAGTGTGCACCTCACCAAGTTGTCTAGTTCAGGGTCCTCGCTGAAGAAAGGTTTCCCTTCTTTCTCCTGACAGCGGACAAAGTTTTCAATGTCCACATCGAAGCTAGCTGAAGTGATGCAATCAGAGCTGAGTGTGGACTGCTCACACTTCTCAAAGAGCAGGGCCAACAGAGGGAACAGGGGATGGCTGTGGAACAGGCACCAACACACACACAAACTTAGATCAGCAATTTTCTGTAGCTTCTCAGGTAGAAATACATCTAAATATTTAAACAAGTATATGAAAAGAAATGTTTCAGTACTTTAATTTTTGAGTAAAGAAAAGAGAGAGATAATAATAAAGGACCAATGATGTCCTTCTGTAAATACACACAAACCGATATATAGATGCTTTATCTACGTCCATGGGGGTCTGCAGTTCAGTGGGTGCTGGACTGGGCACATCCACCAGTGTTTCGTCAATATACTTCTGCTCAGGATCGTCTACCTTTACCACACTCTGCATCTGTAAAGATGAGGAACCACTTAAGTGAAAAATGGAAAGCAACTGTAGAAAGTAAAAAACTAAAGAGATGCAAAGGGAAAGACACAGAAGATGAATATGAGGAGCAAGCAAAAGAGTAAACAGGTCAGTAAACAGACACAAAGTTATGTGGACAAGAGAATCTACTTAAACAAGAACTGTTTGTTCATTTTTTAAAAGCACTAGACTTTTTTGTAATAAAGCAATTTGAATTGGTTTTTAATGCAAAAGCCATTATTTATATCTTTTAGACATCTGTCAATTTCGTATAACACAGGTAACGTAATGCATTGTCATCAATGCATGTTCCCATGCAATGAAATTTGCTGCATTTGACCCATCACACATGAGACACACCCAAATGGAGCAGCAGGCAGCTATGTAAGCATGTGGGGAGACATTTAATAATTATTTATTTCCAAAACCCATTTCCAAATAGCCAAATTTACTGTATGTTTACTCAACTCAAAATACAAAATAGGGTTAGTATGATTTCAGTGATGAAAATGATTTAAAAAATTAGGCTGTAGAGGTACTTTTCACAACTTTGTGAGTTTTTAGTAGTAGTAGTAGTAGTAGTAGTAGTAGTAGTAGTA